GCAGAGGCGGCCAAACCCAGGGTGGCCAGTCCAGGAACACCCAGACCGGAGTGGCCGGGCCTGGAGAAGCCAGGCCCAGAGCAGCCGGGTTGGGAGCAGCCAGGCCCAGAACAGCAGTAGCCAAGCCCGGAGCATCCAGGCCGGGAGCAGCCAGGCTTGGAGCAGCCGGGCCCAGAGCAGCCAGGTCGGGTGCGGCCAGGCCCGGAGCAGCAGCAGCCAAGTCCAGAGCAACTAGGTCAGGAGCGGCAGTGACCAGACCAGGAGCAGCTGGTTGTGGAACGAACCAGAGCAACAGAGGCCAGGCCCGGAGCAGCCAGGCCCGGAACAGCTCACTCCTCGCCTGCCCCTGCCCCATGGCTGCCTCTCAGACATGGCTGGAAACTTTTGTGGGAACTTGAGGGTCTGCTGAATCAAGTGATGAAGGCTTAGATCTGGATGTGTTGAGTTAGTATAGCGCTGGGGTGTTGATCTGTGAGTGCCTTGGGTGAGGCCTGGATGAGGCTGGTTGACCTATTTGGAAATGTCTTTTGTGTGAAGTGTATCATTGGGCATGTGGAGGTATTATTGATATGAGAAAATGCTAAGTAATTGATTTACTATCTGAAAAGGGATTTATTATCGGGGAAAGGGAGGGTGGAAGAGACTGAACATAAACTGTGCACCTATGAATGAGGACAGTGGGGGATGGGGAGGGAGCGGAGGGTGGGGTGGGAACCTGGTAGAGGGGGGAAGAAATGAGGAACCTTTGTATCAATAATAATATGAACAATAAAGATTGATTAAAAAAAAAACAAACAAAAAAACATTGAAACCTGTAAAGAATTTTTGTGAGTTTATTTAAGCCAAACTGTCGACAACTGCCAGGAAGCAGAACCTCAATGGATTGAGATAATGCTCCGGAGAATGGTGGGTTACATTTGTATTTATACATTGCAACCAAAGGAAGGGACGTAGATGGGTCACATGAAATCCATTGGTGATAGACTAGAGAGGCATGTGATAGACTAGAGAGGCGTGAGAAAGCAAATCGGGGAAACCCCTGGGATTAGATAAAAAGTAAAATGATAGACACATACTTAGGTGGGAACAGGAATAATTAATGATTATGAAGGAATTTTTGTTATCTGTCCTGGTGCCCAGGCACACTATGTTGTGCCCCAGGGGGGTCCAGAAAAAGGGAAGTTACAAGTTACCCAGACATTTCAAGGGTGTGTTAGCATAGATGCAAAAAGACAGATGGGCTCAGTTAAGGTAAAGGATGACCTTGTTAGTGAAGATACCAGCCTAGGACTAGGACTTAACTGCCCACCATAACTGCTTTTAGTTAAAGTTTAACTTCAGACCATCCTGTGTGGTTACTGTAGGTCTCTGAGTCTGCAAGACTGTCATGCAGGCCTCCCCTGAGCTTGTCAGGTCAGCATGTGGCCTCTTTCATCCACACTAGGATAGACCATGTGTTACAAGTTTCAATAAATTTAAAAAGAATGAAATAATGTTAAGCACCTTCTTTAACTATATGCCATGAAACTAGAAATCAATCACAAAAAGGAAGCTAAAAATCAAAGACATAGAGGCTAAATAATGTTACTAAACAATGAATGGGTTAACAATGACATCAAGGAAGAAATTAAAAGATACCTTGAAACAAAAGAAAATGAGAACAGAGATTTCAAGATGGCTACAGAGTAGGTGAAGACTGCTCCCTGCTGGAAAACAAATCCGTTTCACTAAAAAAGAGATGTTGACAGGAAGCCAGGAAGGCTGGTCAACAACTTTAATTGCTCTAACCTTTAGTTGAGATTTTGTTAGCTGAAGCAGAATCTACCTTGTCCGTGAAAGTTTCTGTTATTTCCTGCCTAAGGGCTACATGTAAATTTCTGTTTATCTTGCCTAAGATGTTTTTCCCAAAGCCTCAATAAAAGGGGATGGCAGGGCCAGAGCAGGGAGAACTAGAGTTGGACTATCGCCTGGCCCCCCATATCGCCAAGTTGAATTTCTTCAAGTCTCTCTTCATTTGTGTGCGGCCCTTCTCCAGAACTCGAACCCTGAATTGGAACTCTTTCCACACGGGCCGTGAAAGAGAGTCCTACAGCTCCTGCCTGCTCCCAGCTCCAAATCGGATTTACAACTAAATTGCAGAGCAATCAATCTGACCAAGTGAAGGCTACCTAAACCAAAACATTATAACCAAGGACTACATAGTGCTGGAAGTCCTAGCCACAACAATCAGACAAGAAGAAATAAAAGGCATCCAAATTGGAAAGCAGGAAGTAAACCGTCATTATTTGCAGAGGACATGATATTGTACATAGAAAACCCTAAAACTCCAACAAGAAACTGCTAGATCTAATAAATGAATGTGGCAAAAAAGAAAGAAAAAAAGGTTAATATTAAGAAATCAGTGACATTTTATTTAATTTTTAAAAAAATATATTTTATTGATTTTACACAAAGGGGAACTGAGAGAGATAGTTAGAAACATCGATGAGAAACATTGACCAGCATCGACCAGCTGCCTCTTGCACACCCCCCACTGGGGATGTGCCCGCAACTAATGTCCATGCTCTTGAGCGGAATCGAACCTGGGACCTTTCAGTCCCCAAGCCGACGCTCTTCCACTGAGCCAAACCGGCTTCGGCCAGAAATCAGTAACATTTTATAACTAGAGGCCTGGTGCATGAATTCGTGTACGGGTGGGGTTTAGCTGATCTGCCCCTGATCAGGGTGGAGGTACCGATCAGGGGTGGGATTGGGAGGGAGGAAGTGGTGTCAATCTAACTCCAAGTTAAACTCCCAGTTGAACTCCTGGTCGAGGGGATAATTTGTATATTAGCCTTTTATTATATAGGATGAACTAATTCCTTCATTATCATGTTAATTGTTCCTGTTCCCCCCTAAGTATGTATCCATTCATTTTACTTTTTATCCAATATCAGGGTTTTCCCCCTGCTTTGCTTTCTCCCACCCTTGGGGGTCCCGGCCTGCAAGAGGGCACAGGCTGAGCTAAGGCACACGCGCACGCGCACACACGTGCACACACACCCTGCCAGTGCACAAATGTCATGCACCAGGCCTCTAGTATAAAGATAACTTCAATGGGCACTGTTCCAATCACTTTACAGATGTCAGTTAATCTAACTTCACAACCCATGACTTGTGTGCTACTATCATCTTTATTTTGTAGATAGTAAACTGCTGCACAAAGATGCTGAGAAACTAATCCAAGTGGGTACTTGAATTATCAGGGGATCACTTTGCAAATTACATAATTGTCTAACCACTATGTTGTACGCCTGAAACTAATATAAAGTAATACTGAATATCAACTGTAATAAAATTAAAAAATACTAATCCAAGGCCCCACAAAGTAAGTGACAGAGCTGGATCCTAACAAAGCCTGGTGCCAGCTTTGGGGAAGAATCTCCCTCAGGAGATTATGCCTGGCAGAGACCTGGAGGATAACGAAGAATTATATCTGGATAAAGCCCTGAGACAGCAGCCCTAGGTGAGGGAGAGAACAACATGTACAGACAGCCTGCTGTGAGTATATCAGACTCCCATTCCAGATGAATGGTTCTGGCGGTTGCAGGATGGACTGAATTGAGGGCAAGTGATTCTTTAGGAAACTTTGATCATTGGGAGATAATGGGGTCAGATCTAGAATGGCAGAAACAGGGAAGAAGAATGCCTAAGTCTGAGAAGATGAAAATCAGTGAGATCTGATTCATTTATGTACTCAGCAGATATGTGGGGAGCACTGGATGTATGTTCCCCACTAGGATAGAAAACTATGTGTACATGGACAGCACAGTTCCAACCATCCTTGCTTTGTGACACTTACAGTTCAAGTTCGGGCCCAGGGTGGGGAACGGGGGTTCCAGGGTGTGTTGAAGGTTCCATTAGGGCAGGTGATGTTCCTCAAACCAAACAGTGACCAAGTACTGAGGGGTGGAATCACTTCGGCGGATCTTGAACAGCACTTACTGAAGTAAAATAGAACACATCAAGCTGCCTTGAATGCCATAAGAATAATTTCCAGAAACTTTGTTTCTGTTACAGATGTGCAAGTGAGCACTGGATTAATATATGCAATATACTTTTTACTGAGGGTGAAGTAAAAGTAGTTTAAAAAAAACCTTAGAGAACCTTCAATGAACAGTAACCACACACCTATAACTCTGTACTCCTTAAGGAGGCTAATTATGTCTTACTTGTTTTTTGTTATTGTTGTTCCTATAACGAGGATAGATCAAAGTAGATGGATAAATAAATGGGTTAAGCATGCATAAGATGGATGGCTAGATGGAAGAATGAAAAATGCATGGATGGGCGAGTGGATGGCAAATGGAAGGATGAAGAATGGTAGGAGGGAAAGGGTATGCAGAAGTCTGAGCTACCCAGGGGTCGCGGGGCAGTGGAGATGAACACAGAAGTGAAGGTCGTGGGAGAAGTCAGCGCTGGGAAGCGGAGGCTCTGCAGACAGCAAGAAAGGGTGCACTGGTTTGAAAAGTTAAGGTGGAGGCACACAAATCCCAAAGACAGATACTTTGACCCTGCGGCCACTCCACGCCACCGCCAGCTCAGTCCCACGCGGCTCCTCTGTCCCACAGCCCGAGCGCGGCCGCTGCGGAGCGGGAGCCGCCGCCGCCGAGGACTCCAGCGGAAGCGCGAGGCGCGCGGGCCCTGAGCCGGTGGCGCACGCAGCGTGCTTCCTGTCCGTCTCGGTGCTTCCTGTCCGGCTCTCCCGAGCGGCTGCGGGACCCTGTCTGCGTGGACCCGCTCAACAGCTCCGTTTGCTCCACGGCCTCACGCGTTCGCCGCAAGCTGTGCCCTCCAGCAGCCTCCAGGCTCCCGGCGGCCCCGCGCACCATAGAGATGAGGTCCGCCGACGGCCCAGACGGCCCTCCGTATGGGTTAGAGCGCCCCTCCGTCACTTCCGGTCGCCGGGAGCCGTTAGGTGAGGAAAGCGGCGGCTGAGGCACACGCCGATTGGGCAGACTCTGAGGGAGGGAAAAGCGTGCCGGGACCAGCGTTTGCTCGCTGAGCCTCGAAGGGGAGCGGGGCCCGCGGAGCGCGGCCGTGAACCTGGGCCGGGGCCTTCGGGCCTCGAGCTGGGAAGAGCCTGAGAGGGAGCAAGGCTTCTCTGCGGCCTGAGGGGGAAGAGAAGGAGTCGGTCTCATCCCCGCTCCTCGACGCCAACACCTGCAGATAGCGCATTGAGATGGCCGGCCATCCCACTACTCCCAACCCCGTGCAGACCCTGCAGGAGGAGGCGGTGTGCGCCATCTGCCTCGATTACTTCACGGACCCCGTGTCCATCGGCTGCGGCCACAACTTCTGCCGAGGGTGTGTGACCCAGCTGTGGGGCAAGGAAGACGAGGACAGGGAGGAAGAGGAAGGTGGATGGGAGGAGGAGGACGACGGGCAGGCAGTGGGGGCCATCGGTGGATGGGACAACTCCATTCGAGAGGTTTTGTACCAGGAGAGGGCTGACGAGCTGTTCCGGGACCCAGAGGAGGGCGAGCCCTGGGTCGGAGAGAGTGGCATAAGGACCTGGGGTAACGTGGACTACGTGTGGGACCTAGAAGAGGAGGAAGATGGGGACTATTACCTGGGAGGCCTGGGAATTGACATCTACGAAGAAGAGGAGGTACTGGGAGGATACGATGAGGAAGAACTGTATCCTGACACCCACCAGCCTCCTCCCCGGACCCCTCCGGCCCCTCCGCGGCAGTTCACCTGCCCCCAATGCCGAAAGAGCTTTACAAGTCGCAGCTTTCGCCCCAACTTGCAGCTGGCCAACATGGTCCAGGTGATTCGCCATATGCGCCCCACTCCGTATTCAGGGAGCCTGGGAGACGACAAGGGTATCTGCTCCAAACACCAAAAAGCCCTGAAGCTCTTCTGTGAGGTGGACAACGAGGCCATCTGTGTGGTGTGCCGAGAATCCAAGAGCCACAAGCAGCACAGTGTGGTGCCATTGGAGGAGGTGGCGCAGGAGTACATGGTGAGAGGCTTAAATTAGGGAATATGGAAGTTTGGACAGGAGTTGGGAGGGATGGGTACTTGTTTAATCTTTTTTTTTTTTTGGGGGCGGGGGGGAGGCGCGGGTACAGAGGAGAAAGATGAACACATGTGAACAAAAGCTGAGGCTGTCTTCCCCAGAGGAAGCTAAGCAAAAACATGACAGAAGCTGACCATTGTCATTCCCTTTCAGTCAACCTAGGTATAAGGGATAGAGGTAACAGATCCCTAGTACTTAATTTCTGTCTGATGTGAGTTCTGAGTTTATCCCTAAGATTCCAGGACTTAACACATAGGAATGGAAAGCTGTAGTACTTGAAGATAATAAGACTTCTAAGCACAAGCAGTATCAAAACATAACTGGACTACTAAGAGCAGCTGGCCATGCCCCACTACCAATTGGCCATGTCCTGATCACTTTGCTTCCCTAGTATGATGTAGAGTGAAGGACTTAGGATAAGATGACCTATCTCATCTTATGCAGGTTTCAACCTATTAGCATTACTTTTTCCCTAGGCTTGTTACAATTGAGAGATCACGTGTGCCCTGGCCAGTGTGGTTCAGTTGGTCGAGTGTCGTCCTGTGCACGGAAAGGTCACCAGTTCAATTACCAGTCAAGGCATATGCCAAGGTTGTGGGCTCAGTCCCCAGGCAGGGTGCATGCAGGAGGCAGGCAATTGATGTTTCTCTCTCCCCCCTCCCTTCCTCTCATATATATGAGGCACTGTTTACTTTTATATTTTACTTTCCTCTGTCTTCCCTTCTTTGGATTTTGACTTGGTTAATGCCTTGCTTTCTAGTTCTCATCTGAGTATTAGAAAGTTGACTAAATGACAAGTCGGTATGAATACTATCTTCCTTACCAAAACCTAGGTGATATGGCCCCTTGCAGTACCAAGGAAGAAGAGGTTGTCTTCAGGCCCATAAAAGTCTTAACCTGGAGGATATTTAGTAGCAGCTGCTCACACCTCAGTAGTGCTTTACAATTTATAAAATGTATTTCCTCATGTTCTCCTACAGCAGTGATCTGTGGTTTTTTGCCAACTAATGGGTCTTAAAATAAATGAGTCATGCCCAGCATTATTTAAAAACTAAATAGAAAAATATCAGAGTGCATGGAGCAAAGGAAGGGTATCTATAAAAGCCGTTTAATCAGGCCGCTATGACATGCACTGCCCACCAGATGGTGACACTAAACACAGGAGCTGCCCCACCTGGCGGTCAGTGTGTTCCCACAGCCAGCCTCCCTCGGTCCCTCCCCTACATTTCCCCTAATAGGGCCCCAATCCCCAGCCAGGCCAAGAGACCCCACCCGTGCATGAATTCGTGCACCGGGCTTCCAGTTGTTTTATAAAACTTATAAATTATATATACATGTGTATACTTGGTCCAGAGTAAAAGGTATTGCTTTCTCTGAGTTGCAGTAAAAACACAAGCAGAACATCATATATTAGACATTATCCCACACACTCATTTTACAGTAGCTATTGGTAAGTGCACAGTTAAGGTAAATCTTTACAGCCAAAACCGGTTTGGCTCAGTGGATAGAGCGTAGGTCTGTGGACTGAAGGGTCCCAGATTCGATTCCTGTCAAGGGCATGTACCTTGGTTGCGGGCACATCCCCAGTAGGGGGTGTACAAGAGGCAACTGGTCAATGTTTCTCATTGACGTTTCTAGCTCTATATCCCTCTCTTCCTCTCTGTGAAAAATCAATAAAATATATTAATATTTTATTTTTTTAAAAGATAAATCTTTACAAATCACTGCTAATTCCATATTAAGATGACTTTAAGGACAAACCCAAGCACCCACTTTCCACCAGGGTAATAGTTAAATTTGCCTACAAACGGAACTATGTTCTATACATCTGGGTTTTAATACACTGAGGAAAAGAGATAACCATACATTCCTCTTAGAATTTTTCTGGAAAGGATTTGAAACTGGAATTTTAATTAAAAGTCAGTTTAAACAAGAGAAAAGAGGTGGTCTCTTCAACTGGGAAGGTCAGTAACATATATGAAACCTGAAAATTATTTATAAACAAATTCAATTAAAGAAATTGAGGATAATCCCTTTTGAAATATAGAATATTTAAAACAAAACATTTACTCTTTTTTTTTTTTAATGTTTTTAATGATTTTTAGAGATAGAGGAAGGATGAGGGATAGAAACATCAATGAGAGAAAAATCATCAATCGGCTGCCTCCTGCTGGGGATCAAGCCCACTACCCGGGTATATGCCCTGACTAGGAATGGAAACAGCAACTTCTTGATTCCGGGGTTGATGATCAACTTCTGAGTCACACTGGTCGGGCTTACTTTCAAATACACACCAGAACTTAGGTATAGATAGCACTGCCAAACATAGGAATTACAATGAAAAAGGTAAAAATCTTTTGTTGTATATAAGTTATATGTAAATTGATAGTAATTGACATATTCTTTCATTCTTTATAGAGTTCATAGTTTTATAACTTGCTTTCAATGGTGAAGGCACATGATTTAGAATTTTACTTAACAAAAGTCTTATAATAGTTAACATTGTATAAAGAACTTTTTGTACAGTGGCTTATTTAACATACATTATCTATCTCACAGTTCTGGTTACACGAATTCTCTCGTCAGCTACTAATTCAATACAAATTTTTTATCTACTTTGGAGTGGTCAGGCTTTTTAGTTTTAGGCGTTATGAATAGAGTTGTTACTTATCAATTCAGGAATAGGAGAGAAAGGCATTCTCCCCCTCCTTCCACAATTTATATCAGCATTGCAGGGTATGGGGAGTTATAGTGGGTAGAGCAAGCAGCATTCAGATGAGGCCTATATTACTTAATGAGGTATTTAACAGGCTAGTTAGCCACAGAGTTCATTTATACCAGTGGTCGGCAAATTCATTGTCAACAGAGCCAAATATCAACAGTACGATTGAAATTTCTTTTGAGAGCCGAAAACCAACTTCTGTGCATGGGCCACTAAGTTTCTGTACATGCGCGTCCACATGTGGTATTTTGTGGAAGAACCACACTCAAGGAGCCAAAGAGCCGCATGTGGCTCGCCAGCCAGTTTGCTGACCACTGATTTATACTACTCCATATCCAGGAGAATTATATTGTTTTGAGGTCAATGTTTTGTTTTTCATTTCTATCCTATTGTTCAAAGTATTATAGATATCCCCTACCCCCTTCCCCTAATCCCCCTCCTCCCCTGCATGGGCCCCCTCCACCTTCACCCCACTATTGTCTATGTCCATGGGTTATGCATATATGCATATAAGTGCTTTGGTTAATCTCCTCCCACCCCACCCTCCAAAGTCATTGTTCTTTTAAAGTTTAAGGTTTACTTTTGTATAAAAAGAGGCTTTTTAGCTCTGAAAACTTATTTACATCTTCCTTTTTGTCCATTCCATGAGTTAGAGTTCGTCTTGACTCTTCAAGCTAGAATCAGAGGATTATGAAAGTAAGATCATTTAGATTTGACCAAGGGCACCATTAAATGGTGTCAGGTTTTAAGCAGCAGATGGGTGTATAAAAAGATGAACAAAGAATTTCAGGGCTCAGGCATAGCTGGATGCCTGTATTGCCCTGCCACCCAGCTGCCATCCATAAAGTCATTCATCGCTCTGCAAGAGGGACCAGATGCTTCCATCATCAGTACTCCTTGTTTATGTATTTTCCTTTGATATAGCTAAAGATGACAGCCAATTTTTTTGAGGTTTTTATCAAGCATATATTCGCATTATGATGTAGAAGATAGGGTCAACTTCTCCAGTTGAGTAATTTGTGTGTTGGGCAGTGACACCATGCCAAACTCTGTTAAATTTATGCCATTAAAAAGTGTTCTGCAAAGCACAATTCTCTGCAGCTTTAAGATTGAACTGTATTGGAATATTAACAGGAATCTTCAAAGGCCATGAAAACTTAAATAGCCCTTTTAATTGCAAAGGGGTAATTTGTGAAACCTTACATTCCAAATACTGTCACAACTTTAAGAAGAAATTGAGGAATCCCAGAATTTCTTCATTTCTGCAGTTTTAACAACGAATTGATGACTGAGCATATCACTCTTCAGGTTTTAAAAAAACATCATCTCATCTTTCTTTGTTATTAGTTGAGATGAATCTACTGACAAAGGAAATTGTGCTTTGCTTATTATCACATTAGGCTTTAAAAACCATGGGTGTGCTGTTTTCATAAACCCTGTACTTGACCACTAAAGACAATATTTTTGAAACTGTATCCAATACACTGAATTTGTTGAAAAATTATAGTATTTATTGATGGTGCTACAGCAATGGCATGTTTTAGATCTGTTTGTTTCGTTTTGGGGGGCAAAAATTGAAGAAAATTGGCATTCAAGATGTTCTGCAATAGTCAATGCCAACCATAGACTTCCATCTATCTGCCCACAATCTACTGGAAATCTTCAGCCTTGCTGTCGGCATCATTGTTTGAAAAAACGTTACATTTGATCCCAGTTTGCCTTGGGTTTGAGGATGTGAATGCTGTTCAGAGTGTTTTCTGTTATATACTGAGGTTCCTTGGTTGTTAAAGAACTGAATTCAGCTGAATTTATGGTCAGGACAACAGAATTTGGAACACCAATGACAGCCCTGATTTTAGAACACCAACAAGAACCTGTACTTTAAAAATTAAAACTTTCAGAATGTAACTCATTGAAGTTTAAAATACACTGACCCTGAAATGTCCAGGAGCAAACACCAGCACTGCTCATTATTAAATACTTTAAGCAAAATTTGCCAAAATTCCAGCTACAGATAGCAAATTCATGCTGACAATGTCTAATTTTCTTGGTCAGTCTTTTGAGGACCAGATTCATGAATGTTATTTCAAGAAAAAAGTGAAATATACATAACTATTTTGGGTTGATGTATTCTTTGGTAGCTTTTGGGAAGAATGTGTTTCACACTGATATTTAGCTTTCACTGGAAGAACTTCAGAAGGATTTTATGGAATTCAAACGTCTGATTGTTTTTACAAGCCAACTTCCAGATACTCTAAAGAAATTTAGATGTCAAATGACTAAACAGAATACTTCATTCCATTTTTTTCTTGTATCGTAAAAGCTTCTTTTTTCTTTTTTTGCTGTATCTAGCTGTGGGGTGAAAACAGTGAAAGAATATTGTTAAACAGCTTGCGTTTTGTTGCATATTCTACACTGCCCAGGAAAAAAAGTTAAGCTATAACTGTAACATGGTTATCACATCATCTGAATAAAGTTTTGCCTTCCAAAATTACCATTTTTTTAATTGATTTTAGTTGTGATACTTAATTTTGAAAATTTAAATATCACTGG